CACAGTTTTACTGCCCTTTGGACATTAATTTTATTTTCTCTTTTTCTGATTTTTAGTCTGCCATTCTTTCTTTTGGGGTGATATTTATCGATCTGTTTTAATGTTCACTGATCATTTTCTTGGTTGTATCCAACGTAATCTTAATCACATCCAAAGCATTTTTTATTGCGGAGGCTGTGTTTTCAGCTTCAGGTTTTCCATTTAGATTTTCTTTTATAGTTTAAAATATCTCCTCAAATTTTCTATCTTTTCAACCACTATTTACATCTTCTCCTGTAGATCATTAACACATTTATCGTTGTTATCTTAGGTTCTTTGGTAATTCCAACGTTTGGGTCAGTTGCAGGTCTCTTACTATTGACTGATCTTTCTCTTCATTACAGGTCACACTTTCCTGTTTTGTTGAGGCCTGATAAGTTTATGACATATTGGACATTGTGTATGATATGTCATAGAAACCGGATCCTGTTCTCTTCCTCTGAAGAATGCTGAGTTTTATTCCACTAGTGCCCTTCATCCAGTTCTATGAACCCTTCCCACATTCCACTCTGTCCCCACCCACGGTGTTCCCAAGCCTCCCAGGCAGCGCTTTTGAAGAATCTTACTGTGAAGAAAAGCAGATAGGTGGGTAGTGCTTGAAGTGGGCTGTGTGGTCAGTAAGTTTTTGTTTGTTCGTTTTAAATATAAGAAACAAATTACATAAATTAAATGGAGTGTCTCTGGTGGAGAAGAAGAGTAGGAGTGGGGATTCAGGGTGAAGGGGAAAAAAAATCATTTACCAAGAAGGGGTCCGTATGGTCAAAGATGAAGTGTGCCGTGAACTGAAGAGACTGGAGAACTATCTCTGTGGGTGGCAACGACCATCACCCTCTTCTGCCCTTCCGCTTCTTACTATGCAGAGCAAACTGCCCAACTGGCAGGTTCTTCTATTCAAGGTTGTGGATACTCACACCTTAATGGGCTTGTTTGCTTTTTCCCTCTCTTTTACCCACCACACATGCCTCCCAAGGCAAGAACTGGAAAGCTGGAAAGAATGCATAAATTTGTTTCTCTGAGATCAATTAAGGCATCGCAGCAGGCTTTAAGAGCACCAGGGGGCCAGGTAAAGTTTACTCAAAACTATTGAGTGTGACTTGGGAAGGGACCCTCTCTGCCAATACCTGGCTGTAATTAGACAGACGGTCTCAAATCACTAGAGACTTGAAGGTCAGTCTTTTTTTCTACCTGCTTCTCCCAAACGTGGGCAGACAGTTAGAGCCTGGGACGGTAGTATCTACTAAACCACAGCGGTCTGCTCCTTTGCCAGGAAAGTTTTTGTGCAGGGAATGGTGTCCCGGGACAAAGGGCTACAGAGCTCAGACAATGACCCTGCTGTGTGCCCCCAGACAGTGGGCCTGCGATGATTCCTAAAGACATTTTTGTTGGGTTACTGCACACCCACAAATAGCTGCTTTAAAGAGGAAAAAGAACAAAACTTGACAGCTAGAGGGTTATTTAGAAAAGCCATTTTAAAACTAACAGATACACAGATGCGCCCATTAGCTCTTGTAATAGACTCTGAATTGTTCTCCCAGCCTCCAGTCTCACCCACACCAATCCATTCTGCACATTGTAGCAGGATTAATCTCCCTAAAGGACAGATTTGATCGTGTTACTTCAGGGCTCAAGTACCTTCAATGGCTCCCCATTGCCTTTAAAATAACCAACTGCCCTGGCTGGTGTGGTTGAGTGGGTTGAGCACCAGCCTGCGAATGGAAAGGTCTCTGGTTTGATTCCCAGTCAGGGCACATGCCTGGGTTGCAGGCCAGGTCCCCAGTTGGGGGTGTGTGAGAGGCAACCGATTGATTGATGTACCTCTCGTACACTGATGTTTCTCCCCCTCTCTCCCCCTCTCTCCAAAAGTAAATAAGAAAAAAATCTTTAAAATATATAATAAAATAGCCAATCATTGAAGATCCTTCACACTGGAGCCTCTCTTCTCTCCCCAGCCCATCCCCCACTGTCCCCTCGGACAGCTGGTGAATTTAAGTGTCTCTCTCCAGTAGGGGCTCTTTCCTCTTGGGGAAAGTTTTCAATTAGCAATAATTGTGCCTCGGATAAACCCCGTTGGCTAGGATACTGTCACTATGCAAAGCTAGGGCTCTCTTCTTTTTTTTCAATTTTTAAAACATTTATTGATTTTACAAAGAGAGGAAGGAAGGGAGAGAGAGAGAGAAACATTAATTTGTTATTCTACTTATTTATGTATTCACTGGTTGACTCTTATGTGTCCTGACTGGACTGGGAATTGAACTGACAACTGTGGTATATTGGGACAACATTCTAACCATCTCAGCTCTCTGGCCAGGGCCAGGGCTCTCTCCTTTATCTCTCTTCCTCTGCTCCCACTCTTCCCCTCACTCATTTCTACTTGATCTTTATCATTCTTAGTGTAGATGTTATTTTTTCTGGGGACCTTCTTCCCTACACACCAATGTCTGGGCTGAGTCAGGTGACTCAGCAAGAGGCTTACAAAACACCCTGAATGTCAAAAATAATAGTTGTTTAATTGCTTGTCTTTCCTGCTACACAACAAATTCTGTAAGATGAGGAAGACAAAGATGTCTGTCCCTACCACTTCTATTCAAAATAGCACTGGAAGTTCTAGCCAGAGTAATTAGGCAAATTGTAAAGGAAGAAGTAAAATCATCTCTATTTATAGATGACATGATCTTATATCCAGAAACTCTAAAGATTTTACAGAAAAAAAACAAACTTAGAGCTAATAAACAAATTCAGCAAAGTTGTAGGATGCAAAGTTAACATGCAAAAATCACTAGCAATGAACAATTTCCTGAAAAGGAAATTAAGAAAACAATTCCATTTATAACAGTTTCAAAAAAGGATAAAATATTAGGAATAAGTTTAACCTTATTCCTAATTAGGAATAAGGAAAAAGTGCAAGATTTGCTCAATGAAATCTACAAAATTTCACTGACAGAAATTAAAGAAGACCAAAATAAATGGAAAGATATTCCATGCTCATGTATCAAAAAACATGATGTTATTAAGATGGCAACACCCCCCAAATGATCTACAGGTTCAATGCAATCCTTATCAAAATCTCAGCTGTTGTTTTCTTTTTCAAAATTGATAAGCTAATCCTAAAATTCATGTGGAGATGTAAGGGACCGAGAAGAGCTAAAATATCCTGAAAAAGAAAAAAACATGGAGGACTGAACAAAGTTGGAGGACTTATGCTTCCAGATTTCAAAACTTACTACATATCAAGACAGTGTGGTATTGGCATAAGAATAGAAACAGAGATAAATGAAATAGAATTCAGAGGCCAGAAATAAGTCCTAATACTTATGGTCAATTAATTTTTGATAAGTGTACCAAGAAAATTCAACTCAATTCGGCACTATTACCTGAGGCTGAATGTACATATGCCTGGTACACAGTAAGAGCTTAGTGAAGGATAAACATCACTATTGGTGATTTGAGTTCCATTCTAATGTCTCTTATACTCCTATGGATCCCCCAACTTTGGCATCGAAACACCTGTGGTGGTTCACAGCATGTCTTCAAAGGACACCGCTTTTGTAATATTCATCAAATTAACAAGTTTTCAAACTCACAGAGAGGTCTGTTGATGGCAACACACCTTCTCATCAACCCCTCAAAGTAAGAATGCAGTGTTTGAAAAGGCTCAGGCTTTTCCCTCGGGGTCCTATTTCCACGGTCAGGAAAAGGAAGTCTGTAGAGAAGGTCTTTGCAAGCTCCAAACTTAATTGAAATGAACGCAACAAACATTTGGTTTAATTTTTTTTTTATTTTTAGACATTTTCCTTTAAGCATTTAGTATATTTTATTGATTAAGTGGCAATAAGGCAGCATCTGTTCAGTTAGGAAAGGCACCTCTTAGAAATAAAATACATAAATATATTGCAAGATCCCGGCCACAGGAGGCCGGCTGCAGACTCCTTGAGAGCAGGGACTGCGACAATGCGATAGCAGCGCCTCAGCTTGCACTTAGGAACCCTTTCATCAGTTAAAACAAAACACTAAAGCCCTTTGATTCTCTACCCTCACTTCTCTACCTTCTCTTCGTTCCTCCATTTCCAAGCTTTCATTTAGCAAAAGAACATGTATTAGAAAATAATTCTAGTAATTCCAGGACCAGTCAACTGTGGGCTGAAGAGTCTGGTCTTAGGGCTGGAACATTCCAAACAAATTATTTATTATTCCAAAACAAATTATTTAGGAAATATATCTAGTTGGAGCTTGAGTCCTTAAAGAAATGGCTTTGCCCGGGTCCCACGCCTTGCTCCTTGGGCCTAAGCGGTGGGGGAATGAAGCAGGGATCCTTGGAGCGTGGGCGGGTTGAGGAAGGGTTCCTCTTGCTATGATCATGGAAGCTCAAAGAAGGCTGCCAAAGTGGCTCTGCCCCTGCTTCCGGTTTGGAAGCGAGGCCACGGACCTCTACTCAGACACGTGGACAAGTCTGTCCTCTTTAGTTCAGCTCACACCCAAATCCATGTTCTTTGAGCCAGGATGGTGGAAAAGAGTATGATACAACAAAAAGATGGACTTTGAAGTCAAGAGACCTGGGTTTGAGTCTTTGCAACTTAGTAGCTGTGTGACTTTGGACAAGTAATTTTTTTTACTTTGAGTGTGAAATTCTTATCTATGGAAAAAGAATACCCCCTAAGGTTATTAGGAAAAATAAATTCTGTAAGATAGCTTAAGTGAAAGCACCTTGCAACATGCCTGGTACTTGATGGATATTTAAACAAAGTACAGGCCCTGGCCATTGTGGCTCAGTTATTGGAGCATCATCTCGTAATCCAAAAGGTTATGGGCTTGATTGCCATTCAGGGCACATGCTTAGTTTGCATGTTCTGTCCCCGGTTGGGGTGCATGGGAGACGCAACTAATCGCATCTATGTTTTTCTCCCACTCTCCCCATTCCTTCCTCTCTCTCTCAAAACAATGAAAAAAAAAATGACCTTGGTGAGGATAAAAATAGTACGGAGAAAAGATGTCTGAGAAGGAAGAATTTGCCAGGGTTTCTCCAGACGTATTCAAGTGAGGATGACAGGAGGAGCTATGTGACCCAGTGGGCAGTCCTCTTACCTCCCTGATCCTCAATTTCCCTTCAAAGGGGATTCTAACCCCAAGAGGGAGAGATTCCTAGAATCTGAGGTTAAATGTCAGAGTGTCATTTTCTGTTACAGAATAAAGATTTATTACCTCACTTCCAGATGCCTTCACTATGAGATGCACAACTGACTTAAAAAACAGCCTTTTGAGATTGAGAGAGAGGGAGACTACACGAATGGACCCATTAATTTTAAGACACATTTGATTTCAGAATCATTAAAGTGAAAAAAAATTTTGCAATTGAAGAAATTTCATAATAGTGATGCTGGCTCCCATTTATTAAGCATTTGCTGGTGCCAGGCACTGCTAGAGCTGCTTCACTAAGACCATGACTTGTGATTGTAACCTAGTGAGGCAGATGTTATCCTTCCCACTTCATGGTTAGGAAGCTGAATATGGAGAGGTCAAGTCACTTTTCCAAGGCCACACAATCAGGGACTAGGGCTTAGAAGGCAGGTCTTCTTGATTCCAAAATGCTTTCCCCTCTCAGTAGATTGTACTCCAGGAAAAGGAGTCAAAGACATCAGTTCTCTATAGAATTGATTTGTGAACATGGTACTTTGAATGTGCCCTGAGTCTCTTCAAAGTGACTAGGAAAAGCATAGGTAATACAGAGTTGTAATCTAATTAGTTTCTAAATACTGGTCCTTGGAGATAACATGTTAACTGGAGAGTGAGGATCGTTCAGAATCCATATCCAGGGGAGTCAAGAAATGAGACGAGCCACGGTTAATCTGCCCAGAGGGAGAGGAGGCACCCCGAACAGCCACCAGGCTCATTCCCGGTCCATGGACACTGCTGCAAGCTTTAGGCCCAGAGGCCCTTTTCCTCAAGGTCACCCTATTCCTTCTAATATGACTCTATTAATGATTAGAAACCTTTGGAGAAGAATTCATTTTTCCCCTTAACCTTTCTTAAAAGAGGAAAAACTTTGCTGATGAATCAATCATCCTGAGCTAGCTAGTGGTCATCTGCTACTGGAATATGTTACAAATTAATGAGCTGGTATCCTGATTAATTAGTTCCCCTGATTATGGGATTGAATAGTTCACTGCAAAGCTGCGGGTATGGCCCTTATTCTGATGTGACCCAGTTGTGACACTCTTGGATCATACCCTGATCTTTGACCCCTGACCAGAAAACTCCTGGTCTGTCTGTCTAGCTATCATGTGTGAAGAGGGAGAGAACCAAACCCACATCATTGAATTCCCAACATAGCTCTACTTCCTCAGATGACAAAAGAGTGCTCCACAGTTTTCTGGTAAGGTGGCAGCAGAGGTATGGACATAAGTGGGGGTGGGGGCAGGACAGAGCAAGCATGGGGTTGGCGGTTACATGAAGAGGCGGTTACATGAAGCGGGGGTTGCATGAAGCGGGGGTTGCATGAAGCGGGGATTGCATGAGATGCCCTTGCTGACCTAACTGGAAGGAATACATAGTGAAGCTGCCAGGGGAGAATGCGCTTCTTGATCTTGGCTGGAGAAGGCTCATCAGACAGCAGCCGAGATAGCACCAGCGTGGCGGTCACCGAGTCTCCATTTGGACATCATCAGAGCGGAAGGTCACAGTTGCGTGGTGTTTGCCACGGCTGCTTTTCGGGCCCCGGGCAGAAGGGGAGGCTGACTTGGGGCTCTTGGGCTCCAGCTCCCGTCTTGCTCTCATTTTCCTGCAATGAGATATGTACACATGGTTGAGTGTTCCCCCTTGTATACCCAGGGAGTGAGTTCTGTGACTATGGATCTGGCAAAGAGATTAATGTAGGTTATCATAAATCATGTTGCTTAATTGCCAAGAACAAAAATTCACACCTGGAGGGTACCTTAGACATCAGCTAGTCTGACCCTTCGATTTTTTTTTGTTTGTTTAATCTATAATAGATATTTAATTTAATTTTTTTCTTTTAATGAATCAGTAAAGTGTCAGATAGTTGGCTGTATTAGAGACAAAACAGGGGACTTCAGAAGGTCAAGGTGGTGATTTGCCTCCTTGCACAACCACATCAAAATTACAACTAAAATATAGAACAACCATCACTAAGAACTGTCAGAAATAGAGTTGAATGGAAGTGTGACAACTACAGAATAAAAGAAACCACATCCATCCAGACTGGTAGAAGTGGTGAAGATGCGGAACAGGCTGGTCCCACATCCACATGTGGTGGATAAAAAATTGGGAGGGATATCTCGGGAGCAAAGAGTCCCAGCCCCACACCAGGCCCCCCAGCCCAGGGTTCCAGTGCCAGGAAGATAGGTCCCCACAACCTCTACTTGCAAAAACCAGCAGATATTGAGTCAGTGGAAGAAGCTTCTGGAATCCAAAGCAGTTCCCATTAAAGAACCCACACACGGACTTACTCAGGTGCAATCTCTTTGAGCTCCAACACCGGGGTAGCAGCTTGATGGGCACCAGTGGCATACGGGGAGGAACTGAGGTTTCTGGCATCACGGCGAGAGCTGGGGGACAGTTTTCTCTCAGACAGAAAGGCGGGCAGAGGCCATTGTCCCTTTCTGAATCCTCCCCCCAACAGAGCCACAGAGCCAGCAGGCCAGTGCCACATCTGAGCCTCCATCAACCTGGCTAACACTGTTTGCCCCACCCTGGAGAGCTTCTGAGATTTTGTCTCACCCAACTTATGGGCCCACCCAAACTGTAAACGGTGACTTTTCCATATGAATGGCTGGTCTTGGCTCCTGTTTCACTTCTTAAATCCTATCAAACAAGCAACAGCCAGCCTCAGTGGGCCCCTAGTCCCCATACTTCTTACAGGGTGGACCCAGGCATGACACTAGCTATAGTTGGCTTAGATTTACAGCTTGGCTTTGCCTGGGGATCTCCAAGCCCAGCACAAGAGGCAGACATCTCAGACTGCTTTATAGCTCATGCAGGGTGACCCTGGGCACAACACAGGTGGGGGCTGACCTTGGCATGCACACCTGGGAAATCCCAGAACCTGCATACCAGGTGGACAACTATAGACCACGTCAGAGCACCACCACCCTGCCCCTGCACAGCTGATCCTCCATGGAGGGCAGAGGTTGGTGGTCAGTGGTCACACCCAGCTCTTGTAGCTGACTGGCTTGGGTAAATCCCTCCCATTGATCTGCCAACAGCAATTAAGGCTCAACCACAAGAGGAGGGTGTACTTAGCCCACTAAGGGTACACCTCGAATACCCAGCTTGGATGATGGGGGAGGCTGTGCCACTGGACTCTATAAGACACATACTACATTAGGCCATACTACCAAGCCATGTAGTCATAGCAGCTCTACCTAATACATAGAAAAAAAGAAACACGGGGAGGCTGCCAAAATGAGCAAAGAAACATGGCCTAAATGAAAAAAAAAACAACAGATCAAAACTCCAGAAAAAGAATTAAATGAAATGGAGATAGGCAATCTATCAGATGTTTAAAACACTGGTAATAAGGATGCTCAAGGAACTTAGAGAGGACTTCAAGAGCATAAAAAAGATCCAGTCAGAATCAAAGGATGCACAGATTGAAAGAAAGAACAATTTCCAGGGAAACAACAGTAGAGTGGATATAGCTGAGAATGAAATCAATGATATGGAACATAAGGAAGCAAAAAACAACACATGAGAACAAGAAGAAGAAAAAAGAATCTAAAAAAATGAGGCTAACATAAGCAGCCTCTGGGGCAACTTCAAGCGTTCCAACAGTCCCATGATAGGGGTGCCAGAAGGAGAAGAGAAAGCACTAGTAATTGGAAATCTATTTGAAAAAATAATGAAAGAAAACTTCCCTAATTTGGTGAAGGGAATAGACATGCAAGTTCAGGAAGCACAGAGAGTCTCAAACAAGATGGATGCAAAGAGGCCCACTCCAAGACACATCATAATTAAAATGCCAAGGTTAAAGATAAAGAGAGAATCTCAAAAGCAGCAAGAAGAAAGCAGTTAGTTACCTACAGGACCATCCCCATTAGACTCTCAGCTGATTTCTCAAAAGAATCTTTGTGGACTAAAAGAGATTGGCAAGAAATATTCAAAGTCACAAAAAGCAGGAACCTACAGCCAAGATTACTCTACCCAGCAAAGCTGTCATTTAGAATGGAAGGGCAGACAAAGTGCTTCCAGACAAGAAAAAAGTAAAGGAGTTCATCCTCACCAAACCATTAGTATATGAAATGTTAAAGGGACTTATTTAAGAAAAAGAAGATAAAAAATATGAACAATAAAATGGCAAAAAATACGTATCTATCAACAATTGAATCTAAAAAACAAATTAAGCAAACAAGCAGAACAGAGACAGAGAGCGTTTTGATGGTTGTCAGATGGGAGAGGGTAAGGGAGAATGAGGGAAGAGGTGAGGGGATTAGGAAGTACAAATACGTAGTTACAGATTAGCCATGGAGTGTAAAGTACAGTGTAGGAAAAGGAGAAGACAAAGAACTTATACACATTACATATGCCCCACGGACATGGAAAACGGTGGTGAAACTGCCCCAGGGAGTGCGAGTGCTGGGTGGAGGGGGCAAAGGGGGCAATTGGGACAACTGTAATAGCGTAAGCAATAAAAAAGAAAGAAAATTTTTAAAAAGACAAAACATATTAATTCTTGGTAGTGTGAGTTAAATTTTGCAACCTCATTATGCTTGCTAAGTTTAATGCCAGAAGTCTTTAGTAACTCTTAACATAATTGAGAAGAGATTATACTTACAGCACGTATCTTGTCTTTCATGTGGCATAAAATTCAATAGTTAATAGCATCATTAATTCTAATGTCTACATGATATTTCATCTTGTCTGCCTATCACAATTCTTCTTCAAAAATTTAAAATCCTCAGAAAAGTTGCACAAATATTACAATTCAAGTCCAAACACCTTTCACCAAACAATTCACTAGTTGTTAACCATTTGCCACATTTGCTTTTTTTCTTTCTCTCTCTCTCCCCATTTACACACATGCACACATACATCTAGAATTTAAATACATCTAGAATTTAAATACATCTATTTAAATGTATTAAATACATTTAAATATATCTAGAATTAATGTTTTTAAAATCATGAACCATTTGTACGTTAGTTGCAGACATCATGCCACTTTACCCCTTGATAATACTAAGAACAAGGGCATTCTCTAATGTAACCATAATGCAATGATCACAATTTCAGACCCTTCCATATGAAAGATCATAAAATCAGTCCTGAGAGGTTAAATGACTTGCCTAGTTTTGACAGACCACATGTCATTGTAAACAGGGGTGAGTGGAGTCTCCATCCACGTTACAAGCTAGAAAACGAGCTCAGAGCTCCGGCAACTATAGGGAGGAATGAAGGGTACATGGGGTGGGGGGCTGATGACACTTATGGTTTGGGATAGACTCACATTGTAACACCCCAAAGATTTTTAAAAATAATTTATTAAATATTATTATTATTATTATTATATGACATGTAGTGGTGGGAATATTTTCTCTGAAACCAGCTGAACTGGGCTTGAGTCCCAACTCTGGCAATTAGGGCTAAACAACTTTGGTTATGTTACTTAATCTTCCTGTGCCTGTTTCATGTCTAAAAAAATTGGGGATAATGGTAGTACCCACCTCGTAGGGTGGTTGTGAGTTAATACATGTAAGGAGCTTAAAACCACACCTGGCACATAATAAGGAATGAATACAGGTCATCTACCATTATAAATGATATTAATTTTGTTATAAAAACAATGCCTGTTTACTGGTCCTCAAAAATAAGGAAGCACAGACTCTTCCCCTGTAAAAACCAACAAGCTACTAACTAGCAGTCCCACACAGCCACACTGCTGGTCAACACCTCGTGTCTCCTTTGAACCCTCCGTGGATGTGTGTAACCCAGGTGTATGATTATGCTGTGCATATTCTTTCTAAACTTTGACAATATATGGCAAACAGCTTTTCTTACAAATAAATATGCCTCTACAATATCTTTTTAAAAATGGCTTCCAGGCCTTCCAGGATGTGGTTGTACTTATAGCCTTTTATTTTTTTTTTTCATTAAACTTTGTTTTAATGGATCTCCAAATTCTGTGACAGATTTTTGGTCAAGTTGTTTCGATTAAAAAGTACTGATTTCAAAAACTAATAATTTAAAAATTGCCACACGTTATAACTTACCATCTTTTAATTTTGATTTCTTCCCTGAAAAGAATAACCTTTCAGCAAAGTTGTGACTAAAGGTAATAACACAAAATTTATTCTTTATACAATCAAGGTATATTATTTTATTTCCTCTTACTTGATCCCAGAAAGTGGAGTCACATTGTACATACCGTCCAGGATTTGTCACCTCAAATATTCATGTGGTTCATTGAATATAATCTAGCAGAGGACTCCCCAAGAGAAGAGTATTGAAACATTCCTTTATTACCTGTATATTATGTAAAGATGTTTGCCACAGTGCTCAAGGCCTTTTATCATTGTCCTTATCATCATATTTACAGTTGATCTTAGCCAAAGCCTGAAGCGATCATTATATTTAAAAAATATTTCTCCAAGTACAAAAATATTTGGTCACTGTGAAGTTTCTATAGTAGAACAGGTATCAAAGGAGGACTCTCAAAGGGTTAGAGCATTGGATGATGGACTCATTTGCACTGCTGGGTACAAGACAGGCACCCCCAAGTGTTAGTTCCCATTCATTCTGGCATCACCAAAGGGACCAGATAGTTCCAAAGCCCAGAATATGCCATACCTGTTGTACTTCTTCAGCAAGAGCAGAACCACGGTGAGGATGATGATGATCACCACCACAACGGCAGCAATGATGGCTCCAGAACCTACAAGGAGGACAGGAGTGGAGATGGTAAATGTGCAAACTGAAATGCAGAGAATTTATGGACTAGGATGGGGACCCCTACTGTGTCTCCTGACAACCCCCCGGGGCGAGGGGAGGAAGGGAGAGTGCCGAAATTCACTGCGGACCCCAGGACAGAGTCAGGTCTAGTGTGGCAGTGCACCTCTACTCACAATGGGGTTTGCGGAGCTGTGTCTCCAGCACAGCACCTGCCAAAATTCTGCCTTAGCAAGTCCTGTTTTTATCAGCCTTAATACTTAAAAGAAGCTTCAGACTTCTTTTGTGAAACAGCAAGCAAAATACCTGGCCTACTTTTTTATTTTTTACTATTATTCATTTTATTTTTTATTTCTTTATTTTCTTTTATTTTTGTTTAAATTTTTTGAATGTATCGGGGTGACATTGGTTAGTAAAATTATATAGGTTTAAGGTATATGATTCTATAATATACATCATCTGTATTGTATTGTGTTCACCACTACAAGTCAAGTCCCTTCCCTCTTTTTGATAATATGAAAGTAATATATAGTTTTTGTAGATAATTTTGAAAACATAAATACAAGCAGAAAAGAAGAAAGAAAGGATAAAGACCTCATTGCTCCAAGAACAACTGATTGTCTACATATATATACATTTACTAATGTGATCATGTATATGTACATTAAATATCTATCAATCTTTTTAATCCTATGTCTGAAGATCCATCTGAAGGAAATATTCATAAGTATAGAAAATGTGCACTTAATAAAAGTAGAACCATGTTCCATATACCATTTTATAATAACATCTTGATCATCTTCCCAGGTAATTACATATTGTTCTTCATTACTTTTTATGGCTATATAGTACTCCATTGTTTGGATATGCTATAATTCACTTGCCAATTCCCTGTTGAGGGTATTTATGTTGTTTTCCATTTTGCACTATGAAAGCGAGGCTATCATTGTAACATATTATCTCAGGCTCTAATTTCTTTTAAATGGCAGCTCACTTTTAAACAGGTTTTATTTATTTATTTTTAGAGAGAGAGGAAGGAAAGAGAAAGGAAAATATTGACTGGTTGCTTCTTGCAAGCCCCCAACTGGGGACCTGGCCCACAACCTGGGCATGTGCCCTGACTGGGAATCAAACCAGCGACCTTTCAGTTTGCAGGCTGATACTCAATCCACTGAGACACACCAGCCAGGACATCAGGCTCTAATTTTAATATCATCTCCCAGTCCTAATGTCTAACTCTAATTTTAGGTTTAAAAATCAACATTCTTGTTGGAGTTGATATTGAAAATATTTTAAAAATTATTAGAAGGTTCATACTTTTAACCAATCTATTTGATTCTGAGAAGTTTATCTTAGAGAATAATCCTAAATACAGAAAACTGTATGAATGATGTTTATTATATTATTCATATTCTAAAATGGCAATGATTCAATAAGGTGCAGCATATCTATCCCATGAAATATTATGCTATAATTTAAATGATGATTATGAAGACTATGGTAACACTTACATGGTAACACTTACAATGATATAAAGTATAGAAAATAGAATGTGAGCCCTGGCTAGTGCTGTGGCTCAGTAGATCCAATGCTGGCCTATAAACCTAAAGGTCGCCAGTTTGATTCCCGGTCAGGGCACATGCCTGAGTTGCAGGCCGGGTCCCCAGTTGTGGGTGTGCGAGAGGCAACCGATCAATGTATCTCTTGCACATCGATGTTGCTCTCCCTCTCACTCTCCCTCCCTTTTCCTCTCTCTAAAGCTAAATAAATTAAATCTTAAAAAAAAACTCTAGTATGTTAAATTAATAATTTTAAAAAAAGAAAATAGAATAGAATGTGATATTATATACATGCCCACAAATACATAATACATACATATTACATTGAAACCATCAAAATATATGCGGACAAACATAATGTTGACAAAAAAAGTCAAATACAAAAGAATAATGCATGGTATGATTACATTTATATAAAGTTCAAAACCAAGTAAAACTAACCTCTGGCGGAAGGAGTCAGAATAGCAGGCTCCCTTTGGCGGCCGGGAGCAGAGAGTGCAAGGGGCGCCAGGACCCCCGGGGTACTCGTGGTGGTCTGTTTCCTGCCCTGGGGGCTGGTTACACACGTGTGTTCACCTTGTGACAATTCATCCCACAGCACATTTTTGTGCATTTTTGTGCATTTTTTTGCACTTTTGAATATATGTAATGCTTTTATAAAATGTTTACTTAAAAAATATGTGCAATATTGATAGGAGGAAAGACTGGAAGGAAAAGGGAAGGGGGTGGGGAATCCGGCGATGAGAGTTTAGCTGAGGGTTTTTCAGCCTCAGCGGGGCCATTCTTTGTTGCGGGAGCTCTCTCTCGTGCGCGTTATAGGGTGTTCAGGAGCAGCCCTGGCCTCTTCTCACTAGATGCTGGTAGCACTTGTCTTTCCTCCCCCACCCAGCGGTGACAACCGAAAACATCTCCAGACATTGTCAAATGTCCCCCGGTGGTAGAACTGCCAGATAAAATATGAGCTATCCATTTAAATTAGAATTTCTAGCAATGAATAATTTTTTAGTATGTCTCAAATATTACATGGCTCATCCTTATAGCCAAAAAAAAAATTATTGTTTATCTTAAAGTCTAAATCAACTGGGTATCCTGTATTTTTATTTACTAAATCTGGTAACCCTGTCTAGGTGGGCAAAATCACCTAGCTGAGAACCATTACGTTCAGTTAAGTAAAAACAGAATTATTCCCATCTTGCTGAGAGTGACTATCTACCCTGTACTTCCCTTCTACCCTGAGAGTTGTTTTGAGACATACCTCAGTAGGTCTCTGTACTCAACAAGAAGCAGGCTAACGCATGGGGGCCTGTCTCAAGGGTAACCGTTTCTGGGCTTCCATGGCAGGAAAACATCCTGCCCTTAAGCCAGCTTCCTGTTAGCACCAAGTCTGGAACTGCTTATCACTGGGGTACACTCCATGCGTGTTGGGAAGCCTGTTCTATTAGCAGAAGTACATACCACGCCAACTGAAACGACTGAAATGGGCCGGACTTCCCCTCATACAATCAATTGGTTTTCTGAAGAGTGACTCTCAAATTTTTCTCCCCAGGGATCCTGATAAATGTCTCCCCTGGGATAACTTCATCCCACCTCCACTCATTTACTCCTTTATGAACTGACAGGAGTTTCTGCCTTGCAAAATTAGTATGGAAGTAGCTATATTTTAATGTGACCAATTAGGGACATCTTACAAAAGATTCAAATTTCTGTTGCTCCCTCATAAAAAATAGAAATAGTAATAATACTCATTAGGTATTTAGTATGCATCAAGCTATTGTTAGCTCTTGACATAGATGATCTCTTTTAGACCTCACACCTACCTTATGTGGCAGTTTCATTAATATCTCCATGTTATAGCTGAGGAAACAGGCACAGAGCACTGAAGTCACATGCTCAAGGTCATCCAGTGGGCAAACAGTGGAATGGAGACCGAGACCCAGGCAGTCTGTCCCACCACCCCTCCACCCGCTGCCAAGCCAAGGTGACCTTACTTTTATACAGAGAGTCATCTTCTTTGGTGGTCACATTCAGTGACAAGATGGTGGTATCTCCGAAGGGGGTGGGTGTGGTCATCTTGATCCTGGTCAGAAAGAAGATGAAATTTTGTTTCAAATCAGAATAAGCTTTATAACCCCTGTGTGACGATGTTTTTGGGGGTTGTTTTTTTTGGGGGGGGGTTTTTTTTGTCATTATCTAGTTGGTTGGAGAATATTCAAGCCTTCAGTTTCTCTTAGCAGTAACTAAATGACAGGACCCTTTACTATAGACCGTGGGGAATTAAAAATAATGTCTGATATTTGTAAAGAGCTTCATTTTTCAAAGCAGTATAAATTCATTCAACAATATTATTAAACTCCTCCTGACTGCATTTTATACAGAAGGAAGGTCTACAGTGATCTTCGAGAAATGGTGTGAGGGAGGTTATTATTATTGCTATTCCACCGATGCGACTGAAGCCCCCCAAAATGGGGTGGATCCCCATATTTACCCAGTGGAATTTAACCCAGGACATCTGCCTCCCATGCTAGCGAGCCTCCAGACATTGTCAAATGTCCCCTGGTGGTAGAACTGCCAGATAAAATATGAGCTATCCATTTAAATTAGAATTTCTAGCAATGAATAATTTTTTAGTATGTCTCAATTACATGCTCATCCCCAAAAAAAATTATTGTTTTTGTTTCTGGGTACAACAACACCTGGAAAGATGTTCCTGCTTTCAAAAGCAGGTGGAAAAAAACAACTAGGATTATTAAGTAGTTAGTGACATGAGCCATTCGGTTCTGAAAAATGATTCCAAGGACCAGATCCGTTTGAATGGGCCGGGTGGTTTGGGGGTGATAGGAGGGAAGACAAGGGTCAGGTTGCACACACACCTCAATGGGAAGAGCGTTAATGTGTGTGGAACATTTACCACGCACCCGCCAGGCTCTGTGCCGGGTGTCATGACACATGGTATCAACTCACTTAATGCCCTCAACCATTTACATTTTATGGCTGAGCAAACAGGAGCGAATTGACCAAAGTCACACAGCTAGGAAGATGTGCAGCTTAGACTCAGACATACTCTCTGAATGCACAGTGTACCTGCTTTCCCTGACACCCACAGGAATCAAAGTTCCTAACCCTGTCATCTTCCCCTTGAAGGGTGAGCCAGCGGGCAGGCAGTTAATACAATGTCATGCCACCAGAAACAAATCTTGAGATCATCCACCAAGAGTTATTTTTTAAGCGCAATGACATTATAAACAAATGCTTTGAACTACCAGCATCAAGAAAAGAAGGGAAACAAACCAGGCTTTGCTTTTTCTTTTTCTTTCAGAGCAGCCAAGCTCTACCGCTGCTGGCAGTGCGGAGGCCGGTGGAGGAGCTCCACCTACTGAAGAGTGGTCCAGGCCTGTCTGGGGTCCTAGGAAGCCACGGGGTTTCCCCACAGTTGCTCCCTCTTCCAGAGAAGATATATTTTATACATTTAACAAAATGTTTGTGCATCAATTTATTGAACTTGGTAAAATTCAGAAATATTTTTTTAATTATAAAGAATAATATAATAGGAGCCCATGTACCCAGCACTCAGGTTGAACAAATGTTTATAATCATTTTCTTCTGCTCTTTATTTTTAAAAAATAGACTCAGTTGAAATTCCTTTTCCATGCTATCTCAGTCCCTCCTCCAAAGTAACCACTACCTTGGCCATTAATGTATATTCTTTTCATCAAGGTTTTTTTAATGGCTACTACATATGTCTACGTCCATAAACATAGTATCTCCATAACCATTGTGTATATAGTGGGTCGACATATTTATTAAATAAATAGGAGTTGAGTGCCCACTGCGTGACTGACCCTGTGCCAGGTGCTGGGAATACATTATGAAATAAAAGACAAACTCCTTGCCTCCAGAAGCTCACGAAAAGCAGTCATCTCCCCAGTGCCCACACTCCTAAATCTGGCAGCAAATGCCCGTCTCGGGCCATTTGCACCCTCTTTCTCCAGCCCTTCAGCTCCTCACACCAACATCTGCCAAACTGCCGTGACAATGGGCCACTCCTTCGTCCCCTGTCATTCCTGTTCTTAGCCGTCTCTGGCCTGGCTGACCCAGGCTTCACCCGCCCCAGGCCTCTCCCGACAGTCCCCATCTCTGCGGTGCATCTCCTGTAGACCCTGCCAGTTCCTGCAGGAAACACCCCTCCACTGGGGTCAGGTCGCCTGCACCCAGGCCGCGGGCTCGGGTGGCTGTGGCCTGCCCTGCCCATGGAAATGGTCCTCTGTGGCCAGGCCCTGTCGATCCATAGAATGGACTCTGCCATCACTTTCTCTGCTCTCCTTTAGGTCCCCGCCCTGAATAAAACCTCCCAGCTTTTGTCTGTCCCTCCTCCCAAAGACCAGATCCTCAAGACTCCCAGTGAGGAGTCTCATGTGGCTTTGCCCCCCGGCCTTCCCACCTTGGCCAACCTTTCTTCTTGGATGGACTTCCCGTCTCCCCACCGCCTTACACAGGCCCGGCGGGCCACGCTCCACTGCCCGCTCCCCCTCCAAAATGATCATATCCTTCAAGACTCAGCCCAGTAACCCCCAGGAAACTCCCACCCAGCACTCAGCAGAGCACACACCACCACATGCGCCTCACTTGCTTTGTCTGGCAGTTAACTTCCCTTGGTCATTTTCAGGTCCTTGTGGGTGGAGACTATTTCTGGTTCTTTTCCATAGCCTTCTACTGCCCCCAGGTAAAGAGTCCAATCTTCTCACCTTTGCCGGAAGAAGTACTTGAGGGAGTAATTGTACTTCTCCCATCTTGGTTTGCTCATCTGTAAAATGAGGTAGCTTTTCCCAAGGGAGCTGAGGGTTAGAGGTTAAGTATGAAAAGCGCTTTTTAGTGTTACAATGGATATTAGGAAATATGTGCTGAGCTAAATCAGAGATAGGTGGACCTGGAGCTCAGAACAGGAAATTTTTTTTCTGTAAAATAAGTATAAGTATGGACCAATATGAGAACATGGAATGAAAGTCTCCCCAGACCCCACCCCACTCCCAAGGAGAGGTGCTTGTCCCCCAACACTGTCGCCCAGCCCAGCACATAGCTTTAATATGCATTTGCCTGAACTCCCTGCTTCTATCCCCACCAATATCAAGCTGAGAAGATTCACCAGTAATGCTTTCTCGTGATTCCCTTTAAAAACAGCAAGGAGAGGCAAATAGGTGGCTGCTGATCAAGGGTCACTTAGTGAGGAAGACATGGCATAATCACTGGCTAAGCTAAATCCTGACTGTGGACACATCTGCCACCATCCAAGTGCCTGCCACACGGCAAGACCTGGTGCCAGGTATTTTTAAAATCCACGTTCTGATTTAATTAGCAAATGTATGTAAAATAGGTTTTCCTTTCCCCTTGTTTCAGATGAGGACCCCAAGACTGAGGGATATAAAGCTAACTTGCCATGCTCACACCTCTGGAAGCTGGCCCTGCACACTTCAAAGTCTTCCCACTGCACTACTGTGCCTGGGAACACATCTTAGGGGCGTCCGGGGCAAGTCACTACGGGGACAAGCACAGGCACACACGCTCTCGACCCACACTGACCAGTAACGCAGCTGTCTAAGGCCACCAGGACACGGGCTCCTCTGCAGGATAACCTCCTGGGTAACCTCCCAAGTTCCAGGTGCAACTCCCTTTTGGGTGGGCCCAGCTACTCAGCTACTCTTCTTTCTGAAAGAACAGTGAACAATCTCAGAGCGTATCTTGCCTCCTCTCGGGACTGAGGGCTCTCAATCACATCTCTGTTCCTGCCGCATCAGAGAAGGCGGGAGGGAGGCTGGTGGAACATTGATGGCCAAGGATGTGGGTGTTTTCATGTGTGGGGCCCAGAGAGTCCTGTTAACCAAGTGAGGTCCAGTAGGGGGATTTCAGTATCAGACATGCCTATGACCAGGGGCTATGGCTACAGAGGAGCGGGGAGCATACAGGGAGGGTGATGCTGATTTTCACCAAAAGAGATTAATTTAATAATAATAACAACAACAACAATAATAAACTGCACTCAGTGCTTTGTGTAGAGAGTCTCATTTAATTCTCATACCTGTCTGGCAAAGAGGGCATGATCACTGTGCCCATTCTGCAAATGAAGAAGCTGAGGCTCAGAGCGGAGTGAAATCAATATAACCTCACAAAGCTAATGTGTAGCTGTTCTAGGATTCAAGCCAGGCCTGTCTGGTTCCAAGCCCCTTCTCTATAAATCCTCCCAGTGAATGTACAATGTACAAATGGCCCTCGCAACAGCGGGCTTTGATGGGAAAACCCCTGCAGGCTGGGGCACCGCAGAGAGAGCCAGAGCCCTCTCCCCAGACCCTTGCCCCTGGCTGGTCCTACCTTACTGGTCCCTGCCCTGAATAAAACCTCCCAGCTTTTGTCTGTCCCCTCCTCCCAAAGACCAGATCCTCAAGACTCCCAGTGAGGAGTCCCGTGTGGCTTTGCCCCCCCGCCTTCCCACCTTGGCCAACCTTTCTTCCTGGATGGACTTCCCGTCTCCCCACCGCCTTACACAGGCCCGGCGGGCCACGCTCCACTGCCCGCTCCCCCTCCAAAATGATCATATCCTTCAAGACTCAGCCCAGTTACCCCCAGGAAACTCCCACCCAGCACTCAGCAGAGCACACACCACCACATGCGCCTCACTTGCTTTGTCTGGCAGTTAACCTCCCTTGGTCATTTTCAGGTCCTTGTGGGTGGAGACTATTTCCCTGTCTTCAGCAGAACCTTAATTACATCTACATAAACAATAAGGAAATGTTATTCCTTGAGTTTTTTACAAATGGCCTTGTGTGGGAGGTCAGTTTGGGAAGTGAGGGGACATCATGACCATTTATTCACTGAGCCACCCCCTCTGTCCCTTGATCAAGTGTAAGTGCCAAATCTGGAAGATCAGTGTTGCCAGGCCCACCTGTCCAAAATATCTCCCCCGCTGCTCTGCCCAGTGGTACCGTCCTTCCCTCCGGCTTGGCCTAAAAGTTTCTCACTGGATGAGATAACAAAGACAGTACCAATCCCAGCCGACCCTACCCGAATGGCCTACTGTAACTCAGAGGAGGGAACCCACCAATGACCTTCACCCACCCAAACATTAGGGTTGATTTCTCCCAATCGCCTGAGAGATGGAAGGTTCAGCATACATTGGTCTCTTCCACAGACAAGAACCTCGCTATTCCCAAGCAGCCCCTTGAATTATTGGGATGTTTTAATTATTAGAAAATTAACCTTCATGTTGGAACCAAAGTTTCTCTTCCTGTGATTTTCACCCATTGTTCCTAATCTTCTTTCCATGAAGGTAATCTGCTACCTCTCACATATGACAACTGTCAGGTTAAAAGCACTTCTCTGAATGAAATGTGAAACTCAAACTTCCATTGGATGGACAGTTAAGGTAGCTGTTTTGATTGACTGTAAACAAGCATAAGAAAAAGTCTGAAAAAGTTTGGGGCACAACAACAGGTGTGTAAGAGCAGTGTGCTGTGGACGCCTGTAAAGCTAATGAGCTATTTGTTTGCATTAATCCAGTGTAGTATCAACAGGCTTTGTGCACAGGTACTGTGCTAAACACACTACATGTTTTATCTCATTTAATTCTCATAACAACCCTATGGAGTTCATAATTCCTGTTTTACAAATCAGAAAAGCCAAGAAGTGAAGAAAGTTGACCAAGATCACACAGCTAGTAAAGAGTAGAATTTAGACTCAGAGTTGATAAGTTTCAGGAAAAATGTCATTCTAGACATTTCAGGAGCACTCTGGAATCATGTGTTCAGTTTGGGGTGCTGTATTCAAGGGAGATATTGACACGCAGAAAAATGAGAATCCTCAAAGATTGTTTAAATCAAGGACTCCTGGACAAAACCAAAGGGGAAGAGCTGAGGGAGGGAAGGAGAGAGAGGGCAAGGGAAAGTGGTGGGGGGTAGGCAGAGACAAATGTATTTGAAAAAATAAATAAAAATAAATAAATAAAATTTTTAAAAAAGATTGTTTAAATGATCTGAGACTATTCATCTGAGGAGAAATTCATCAGGGAACATACAATTGCTATTTTCAAGGGCAGAAAGCTTAGAAGCAGGTTGGGATCACAGGGCATTTACCAGTCATTTGTAGGTTCAGTACAGAGGGACATACTATAGCCAACTGCTATCGCCACCTAATGGTGGGAGGTAAAATTAAAGTGCGTACTTTAGTTGTTCATACACACTCTGTTGATGTGCCCCAAACCTTTCTCAGACATTTTCTTATGCTTGTTTATGGTCAATCAAAGCAGCTGCCTTAACTGTTCCATCCAATGGAAGTTTGAGTTTAACCCTCATGCAGAGAAATGCTTTTAACCTGACAGTTGTCATATGTGAGAGGTAGCAGATTACCTTCATGGAAAGATTACAACAAAAGGGTGCAAATTGCAGGAAAAGAAATTTTGGTTCCAATATGAAGATTAATTTTCTAAACTGCAAAATGCTATGGAAATAAAAGGCAATGGCAGCTTCATTATGAATAGTGACGATATTATGATGAGCTGCTGCCCAGTAACTAGGTCTCCATTTTGTTTGTGTGCAAATGTCTTTCTGTACTTAAGTGCGGGACTTTGCATTGCTTCCTGCTAGCCCTGAGAAACTCCAGCTCCATGAAGCATGGTGTTCCAAGGAGGGAACTGAGGAGGGATTTACCAGAACTTCCTGAGGGTTCAACTTTCTTCTCCATCTCCACTGAGGGCAGAGGCAGAGGAAATAGTGAAACCTCCCCCGGGAAGGCAAAAATCCCAAGGCAGTTGGTAGAGTGTGGGGGCTGCTGGGTGAGCAGGGGAAGGACAAGCCACGGATTCTTAGGGTGAGAATAAGCAAAGCAGGGTTGTCTTTCCCACTTATTTTGCTTATAACTTCAGAAAGTTCTCTCCCCTCTCTGGACCTTGGTTTTCCCATCTATAAAATGGTCCCATTTGAAGATTATCTCTAAGAGCCTTTCCAATCTGTCGTTCTATTGCATACAACAGGATTCATAGCTTAACTCAAGAATCAGTGTCTTCCAAAAGCTCATCTTTCTTAGCAGAAACCAGCTACTCCGGGGCTGTTAGGAGAGAGAAGTTAGCAATGCACAATTCATGCTGGAAGGCAGCTGAGACTGGAACAAACTGAGGAGAACTCCACACAGGGGTTTGACGTCACAGGAGCAGTGCATATGGGACAAACCTCCAGACACTCTGTTGGGTACGTAGTAACCCGAGCCCGCCTGAATCCTGAATGGCCACTTCCTACGCTCTCCATTTTCCATTTCTATTGGGTTCCACATCATCTCCCCCACTCCAGCTGCCCTGCCCGTGCATGGCTCTGCCCCATTGTGTGTCACAGCTCCCAAAGGTGGGATCTAAATTGGCTTAATGCTCCCCTGAACTTGGGGCCATTCACAATGACGTAGCGAACATGTGTTCAATTATCGCTTCATTCTTTTATCCTCCCATTCACTCATGCACCCACCCTCCCACCCATCCACTGCACACAATTCACCTCCCACCTGCTCTTCTGTCCACTCACCCTGTCATTCATTCAGCCAGCGCCTGCCACGTACACAGCACTGAGCGGATTGAAAGAAGGGCCGTGGGGGTCACGTCCCTAGAGCTCCAAGAAGATGAGAAATGGAATTGTTTCCTTTAAGAATCTTTCCTTCAATCAGTAATCATTGGTGATCGTCGCCCTCATGTCTAGACCAGCACTGATCAGAGACATGTCTGATCAATAGCACATTGAAGTTCTACGGAAAAAAGCAGTGGCCTGAGGACCTAGAAATCTGGGTTCGAGACCCACCACATCTATGAAGTCTTATTCACCCTGTCAAATTCTGGCTTGAACATCCTTTACTTCTGATTTTTGTGGCCCACATTGTAAAGAAAGTTGCCTCGAGGAGCTCCCAACCCAAGACACGCAAATCTAAGTTCCACATACTAATATTTATAAATAGAAATCCCAGATGGGCACACTGTCCCTCCCAGGAGCATGCCAGCCCCTTTCCCTTCCCTCTTCTTCTTCCCCCAGAGGTGTGCATCCCCTAAACCCTAAGGGACCCCACAAGACTTGTAACCAAGGGAGCAATGGACAGCGGCAGCTCAACCCCCACTAACTCCCTGACCCTGTTTGCGAGGCCCCTTTCCTCTGACTTTTCAGTGAGCCAGAGCAGCCCCACCTAGGCTCACTTCTTTCCGATGACATTTCTAGAGAACAAAGCAGCCCTCCCTAGGCTCTCTCCTGTCGCCTCATCTATCTTAAGGCCTTCCTTGTTTCACAATCCTCAGCTTTAATAAACATACTCTGCAAATCGGGGGCGGGGGGGCGGGGAGAAATCCTAGATAGAAATGGTCACAAGGCAGATTCTTGCCTAGTGCCAAAGGGTAATGACAAAACAATGCCAGGAGTTAGTGGGAGGATGAGACCTGTGGACATAATGGTTGAGTCTAAGAGCTGGAATGTGACCTGTGGCCTCCACTTGTCCCTTTGTCTTTGGACACAAGCCAAGGGCCCAGCTCCCAAAGGTCCTCAATTTATACCTGAGTTCTAGGTGTCCCACTGTCCCCCAGGAGGAAAAAAAGGTGCAGATTTAAAGAATGTATGCCCCAAGCGAATATGTCAGAAGAAAATAATTCTACCCTGACACTCCTGTCAGGAAGAAAAGGAAGCTAACATTTAAGC